GTTGCACAGAGCCACACCATATGAGACAGGATCTTGCTCTATCACTCAGGCTGGGGTGCAGTGATGCCATCACAGCTTACTGTAGCCTCAGACACTTGAGCTCGAGTGATCGTCTCACTTAGCTCCTGAGTAGCCATGGGCCACCATGCATGGCTAATTTTAATTTGTTTGTTTGTTTGTAGAGATAAGGTCTTGCTATGTTGACAGGCTGGTCTCAAACTCCTGGCCTCAAGTGTTCCTCCTGCCTCAGCCTCCCAACTCACTGGGATTATAGACATGAGCCACTGTGCCTAGCCAAAATTGTCTTGATAGCAAAATTATATTTTCCGTCATCAGTGGAAATTAAATGATTAAACCAGACAACCACTCTGAAGTGAGTAATGAAACATGACCTGTGTGAAAGTGTCTCAAACCGTCTTCCACTGCATCCACCCTCACCACTCCCTTTTCCTAACTTAATGAGGAAAACGTGTTGGGAAAACAAGCTAACCAGGATGCTTTAGAGCTACTCAGAGGAGAGAGGTAGTTGGGCCTTCTACAAGTCAGCAGTCTGGAAAGTAGAAAAGTTCCTTTTTAAAGTTTTCCTTTCTTGTTAAAGAATAAGTGTGATAATAACTTTGTGAAGCCCTATCCTGTGTAGCTGTTAGACATGCCATGCTGATAGGCACGTAGTATATTCTATGTCCTTGTACTTTAACGAAAATATATGTGCTGGATGTGCTCACAGGCATGTCCCAGATCTCCATTGCTTTTAGCTGTTTAGAAAAGTTTTAAGTTGTTAGCCAATCAGGTTTTAGTTTAGATTGTGAGGTCTGGCTCCAGCCAATGGAGATCAGACACAGCAGTAAGGACGATCCCAAATGTGCATGGGAAAAATTTATGTTTTTCCTTTGTTCATTGTACTCTCGTGGCAAGATGGCTAGTGAGGGTGCCCTTCCTGCAGTCCAGGAAGTAAAAGTTGCATTGCTGAAAGATCCTTCGTCTTAGTGCTAATTTTTCTTGGTGGCACTGAGCATCTATTGCCAACAACAGGTGTGACAGCTCACTCTGCCCCAGCCACAGCTCTGCTTCTAAAGTAAAATCAAATGGAACCCCTGACATTAGCAGAGGCCTTTACCATCAAACTTGGTGATGACCAATGAGGCATTTTCTATCTGACTTGACCGTGAAAGAGAGGCCTGGCCATAGAGAGGGAGCTGGATATGGAGAACTGGGGATCTAGCTCAGGTCAGTGTTGTGGGAATCCACAACAAGAAGGAGGCAGGGTTGGTATCCAGGAGTGAGAATCTTTGGAAGGCTGTGTTTCACTGACTATGCAGGTGATTTGGAATAAAAAGCAGTGTGGGCACCAGAGCTCTGGAGCTGTGTACCTCCTGGCCTCACCATGACCTGCCCCACCCTTCTCCACTACCTGTTCCTGTCACCCTTTGCACCCTGGTAGCAGCTGCCAATTCTTTTCTTCTATGCTACACACATTTTTACACCTCTTTTCTGTATTCCTTCTAAGCTAAGCTGGAGCCGCCGGATGCCAACCTCCTGTATCTGTGCAAGAAACCTGCACCTCCCATTTCCATTCCCCAACCAGGCCAGTGTGGCACCAGCAGGGCTCTGGCCAAAGACTCTGGCTTGCTATGAAGAAGTGAATAACAAGGGAGCCATCCCAGGGGGTTACACACAGAGGCTATTTCTGCCCATGCATCAGACACTGACCCTAAGCCTATTTGTACTTCATTTTCTTCATTTGAAAAATGAGGCTACTGATGGGATCTATTGCACAGGGTTGTTGTGAGGCATGTATGAGTTTATATGTGTAAGTGCTAAGCAGAGGACCTGGTACCACATGGTGTGCTCTTGATGTGTCCCTAATTCTCAATCTGTCACTGTTCCCTCCCCACATTCCATTTAGGGTGAAGAAAAAATTTACCAGCATGACCTCCAGAGACCTGCCTCATCTGTCACTTTCCTACTTCTCTGGATCCCTGCGCCCACTTTTTATGCCCTCCTGAAATGCTCCTGTCAGTCCTCTCCACAGGTACCTGCTCCTTCCAAGCATAGGCCTTTGCCCACACCACACCCTCTGCCTGGAAGGCTATCTCTTCCCCCATGACTGATTCTCACTCACAGGTCTGACCTCAACTCAGCCATTGCTTTCTCTGGGAAGCCTCTGATTTCACCAACTTGGCTCAGTCACCCTCCAGCCAGCTCCCTAACAGCTCTTAGGGAAGTTGCAATGAGGTGTTGGTATGTGAGATTCAATCCGCTTGTCTCCCTGTGGCTCCGGGCTCAATCAAGGTATGTGCAGCCCCTGCTGCCCTGTCTGTTCTATGTCTGGCCCCTAATGTAATGCCTTTTGCATGGATCCCCCAAAAAATATATGTTGAATGAATGAGTGAGGAAATGCATGCTCACTTTGCTTTTCTTCTGTATCTCGAACCAAGCAAATGAGAGCAAGAATCTTTTCTTCCCCATTGCAAGTCACCAAACGTGATGGAAAGCCTCCCTCTAGCATGGCTTTCCTTAAGTTTCTGCTCCCTTGGTTCTCTTAATGGCTTCGGAATCCCCTACAGACTCACTCTGCTGGGCACGTGGTGTGAAACTCAAGAGACTCAGGCAATACCCAATTAGCCAGCCAGCCGCTGCACGCCACAAGTGTTGGTAGTCCCTTCTGAGATGGGGGTGCCTCCTGTACTTCATCCATCAGTATGCTATAACCAATTTCCACCGCCCTAGTTTTCCTGGGCTTAATCCTGTTCCTGGCATGGATATGAATTGTGCTTTCGTAATTACAGGCACAGAGGATCTTTCTGATCCTTTGAAGGTAAGGAGACACGTGGGCTGAAAACGAGCCAGGCCTGGCTCCTCCTAGGAGCTTTCAGAGGGCAAAATGCAGCCAATCGGCCAAGACCCCCTGTCCATCCACACATTTATCCAGGCACTTGCCACCCATGGCCCCTCAGCTTGTCTTGCCCCTGGGCTGTGAGGTGCTGCTGCCTCTCAGGACTTGCTTCTCTCTGCACGTTTGTTCTGCTCTTCTCTTGCTATGGAGTGGTTTCTTCATTCTGGTTTTTAGTGGGATGTAAAGAGAAGCTGGGCCCCAACACAGGCTCTGCCATCTTCAGGTGCCTGGTGTTAGTTGTGGGGTTGGATCACATGGACTGGGCATGTCCCCTCTGCCACCCTTTCAGCAGGCACAGGGGAGGGCACTTTCCTGTACAAAAGTTGTCGGCCCGGCAGGCAGCACCATCGAATTCAATGGTCTGTGGAGCCCAATGCTTCCACAATAAACTTTACTTCTAACCTTTTACAGAGTTCTCTGGAGTTAGAGAACCAGTATGACATACATTTTAAAAAACAGCTGTCTATCACAAAAAGGAGTATTACAATACATAATAAAATAAAACCATCAAAATGGCTGTTGAAATAAATAACATATATTCATTTTTTAAAATAGTTAATATATTTACAACAGCTCAAAATTCTGAAATTATGGACTAGTATTCAGTAGAAATTCCCTCACCCTTGTCCCCCATCTATCCAGTTTCCACACTCCCTCCAAAACAAGTGACCACTGTTCTTTTAACTGTTTATTTTGAAGTAATATAAACTCACAAGAAATTGAAAAATGAATAAAGAGAATTCCTGATATAACCACTCTTTAAAGTTTAGAGTATACTCTTCCAGGAAATGTTATACATATATAGGCTTGTATAAATGTGTCATATTTTCCACTTTGTTTTATTCAAATGGCGTCATATTATACATACTTTTGTACTTTGATGCAAAAGACTGAATGTGTTGGCAAAATTCATATGTTGGAGCCCTAATCCCGAATATAATGGTATTTGGAGTTTGGGCCTTTGGGAGGTAAACAGGTGATAAGAGTGGAGCCCTCATTAATGAGATGAGTGGCCTTATAAGGAACAAGGAGAGATGATCTGTCTCCACCATCCACCATGTGAGGTTACAGCAAGATGGTACCTGTTGGCAAACTAGAAGGAGAGCCCTCACCAGGAGCTAATTTGCCATCACCTTGATTTTGGACTTCTCAACTTACAGAACTATAAGTTTCTTTCTTTCTTTCATTCCTTCTGTCTTTCTCTTTCTTTCTTTCTCCTTCCTTCCTTCCTTCCTTCCTTCCTTCCTTCCTTCCTTCCTTCCTTCCTTCCTTCCTTCCTTCTTTGTTTCTGATGGAGTTTTGCTCTTGTCACCCAGGCTGGAGTGCAGTGACACAATCTTGATTCATTGCAACCTTTGCCTCCCAGGTTCAAGCTATTCTCCTGCCTTAGCCTCCTGAGTAGCTGAGATTACAGGTGCCTGCCACCAAGTCTGGCTAATTTTTGTACTTTTAGTAGAGAAGGGGTTTCACCACGTTGGCCAGACTGGTCTCTAATTCCTGACTCAAGCGATCTGCCCGCTTCTGCTTCCCAAAGTGCTGGGATTACAGGCATGAGCCACCATGCCTGGCCAAGAAATAAATTTCTGTTGTTTAAGCCACCTGGTCCATAGTATTTTTGTTATTTCAGCCATAATTGACTAAGGCACTTACTAAAACAGACAGACAAACAAACAAAAAGCCTTACCGAAGTTGTTATCTAAATAATCAAGTTGTCACTTTAATTTTTTTGTGTCACTTTTCCTAGATCAAAGCTTTTCTCTGCTGCAAAACATGATATTCTCTTTATTTCATATATTGGCTTAGGTATCATTTAAAAAAATCAAAACCCTAGGGCTGTGTTTCACAAACATGCTATTTAAAATGTATCTTACCAAACTTCTTTTCTGAGGATTTTCTTCCAGCAGATCTGAATTGGTGGCCTGATCTAGCTGGATCCAACATGTGCAATTTCTGACTCAGATTCTGGCATTGGTGTCCAAGAATATGCTGCTTGAGTACATAATTTTAAAAAGTGAATGCCCTGGTGCATGACCAAAGCCACAACACCCCACACACGTGACTGTGATCTTTGCTCCTTGGCAAAGTTCTCATAGAGTCAAAGAGTTCTGCACTTTGTTCCTCCCCTGGCACAGCTCTCTCTGCATTCCTTCCATCTCCCAGCAGTCTCCATTTCTACCTCCGTGTGTTTAAAAACCGGTGTGGGAAGTGTGTACCCCTGTGCATCAGACTGCGAACCATGTTTTTCCTGACTCCCATCTTGGTAGCTATTCTCTGCATTTTGGTCGTGTGGATCTTTAAAAATGCTAATAGAAGCATGGAGAAAAAGAAGGGGGAGGCTACAGCCAGGGCTGAGGCTCGCCCCTGGGTGGATGAAGACTTAAAAGACAGCACTGACCTGCACCAAGCAGAAGAAGGTAAGGACACCAGCTATGCTGCTTAGCTTTGCTGTCATGTGTGTTGCTGATGAGTGTTAGTCAATGGCAGGGCTTATGGAGAGGAAGAGACACAGACCAGCTTCAGCATCAACTTCTAGTGTGCTAATGATTCAGTGCCTGGCACAGACAGATCATCTCGCTCCAGTGATGAGCTTGTCACCTGCTGGCACCAACCTTTTTTTATTTTGGATGCTCAGTGAAAAAGCTGTTGAGAAGCTGAAATTTTCCCTGGCTCCAATTCTGTTCTGGTGGTTAAAACCTTCCTGCAGGGATTCATCCCAGGCTGGTAGTGGGTAGGGGCTAAGTGACCAGGTTTGATCAGGCACTTTGAAAACTATCAAGTGGCATCACCTAGGAGGCTGCTACCTTTTCCTTGCCAGGCCCTGGAAGTGAAAGACTGGGGTGGCCTCTGTTCTCAACAAACTGAATGTCCAATTCAGCTGCCAAGATGATGCATGAGGATCAGAGAGAGTAACAAAGAGACAGACCCAGTGGAACTAATTCTAAGGTGTTTAGAACAGGCCTGGGAATTTGACCGTACCGTCAGGGAAAAGACAAACTGGGCTGGGAGAATGAATAGGGTAGAAACAGTAAGTGCTGGGAGGCCTGTCAGGCAACAAGGGGCAAAGGGAGCAAAGGCAGCGGGAGGCCTGGAGTGGGGGTAAGAGAGGAAGTGGAGAACTGAGGGCAGGGGCAGGGTAAGAACGGAAGTAGAGAATTGAGGGCACCTTGGGCAGAAGAGGTGATGAAGGAGGCAGGTAGGAAGGGAGTGACTGTGGAGGAGGCTTGAGCCATCTGTGTCTGAGAAGCTTTGTCTGGGATGGGTTCGATTTGGAAGAGGCTCCATGATCCTCAGCTGGGCTAATGATGCCCCCATTCCCAAACAGAGGCCACTTGGACAGGTGAGTGTGTGTGAGTGTATGTGTGAGTGTTCATAAATGTGTATGTGTGTGTGTCCATAAGAGTGTGTATGCACGAGTGTGTGTGTGTGCATGCATGTGCATGTGAGTGTTCATGAATGTGTATGTGTGAGTGTGAATGTGAGTGTGCATGTGTGAGTGTGCATGTGTGTGTGAGTATGCATGAGTGTGTGTGTGAGAGTGAGTGTGCATCCTAATCTCAGGACTGGGTCCAGCTGGTCCTCAGCGCTAGGAGCCCGTAGGGCTGAATGCACCATATGGAAGTCCAGCCTCTCAGCAGGGCTGCCTCTTGCTCTCTGGCATTGAAAGGTCGTCCACTCGGAACACCAATTTGGCCCAGCGAAAAAGCATTTTCCTTAATCAAGGGGACATCTGTTGTGAAGCTGGGTAATGGTTTGTGCTGGGAAGGTTGGCCCTGGTGGGGGCAGTGGGAATGCAGTGGAAGGGATGGATCAGCGTGAAGTTAACGGAAGAGCAGCAGGGTTCGCTAATAGGTTGGACAGTGGGAAAAGGAGGAGAGTGGGAAAGTTGGAGGCTGGAATGGTGTCATAAGTGGGTGAGGGAATGAGGATCCTGCTTAAAGAGGAAGATGTTGAATTCCATCGAGGACATGTTGGATTTGAGATGACAGTGACACATATGAGCAGAAAGTGGAGAGAGCAGCCGAGGTTAAGGGGCCCAGGCCGCAGACACTGACTGGAGAGTCAGCAGTACGAGGAAGAGACTTGGAACCTGGAGAACTAATGAATTCACAAAGTGGGCATTGCTAGAGAGAAGGGTGAGGATAGAACTCAGAGGACACATGCAGTTAAAAGGAACCGTGGAAGAGAAATGTACTAGAGAAAGGGAGAAGCTGTGGGAAACGGGGCTCTGGGATCATAACAGTAACAAGCTCTTATGTCTATTAATAGCACTTATGTATATTAATGAGAGCCACATTTTATGTGCAGTCAATCATTTCATCTTCATGACAGTGCAATGAAGTAGGCACTATTAGAATCCCTGTATTATAGATAAGGAAACTGAGGCCCGAATAGGGTAAGCCCAGGCAGGTGATTGCAGAAACGAGACCCAAGCAGCCTGGCTCTAGGGTCCAGACATGTAGCTGTTTGCTGGCTGCCTCTCCCCTGGGAGAATGACCTAGAATGGAGGAGGCAGGAGACAGCCAGCAGGGGCAAACATTCTCTCAGAGCCTAGCAAGAGTGTGCATTGAGGAAAGGCTACTAGATTTGAGTACCTAAGAGGTTTGAGTACACAAGAGCTTAGGCAGTCTGTTGAGGGTCACGTCCTGGGGCTGGGGCTGGGCCTGGAGGCTGGGAACATAGAGCGGGACTAAAGGACCTTTCTCTGGTTCTCTGCGTGATTACTCACTTCTGCAAAATGCGTTGCCTCTTCATTCTCTGTTCCTTTCCATCCTTATCCTTCTCTCTCTCTCTCTTTGTTTCTTTTTCTTTTTTCTTTCTTTCTTTCTTTTTTTTTTTGTTTTTAAGGTAGAGCCTTCCTCTGTCACCCAGGCTGGAGTGCAGTGGAGTGATCTCCACTCGCTGCAACCTCTGCCTCCTGGGTTCAAGCAATTCTCCTGCCTCAGCCTCTCAAATAGCTGGGACTACAGGCACATGCCACCACACCTGGTTAATTTTTTTGTATTTTAGTAGAGATGGGGTTTCACTGTGCTGCCTGGCTGGTCACAAATTCCTGAGCTCAGGCAATCTACCCACCTCAGCTTCCCAAATTGCTGGGATTACAGGCATGAGCCATTGTGCCAGCCTCATTCTTCTCTTTATACGGAAGAATGAATGGGACAGCCTTAGTGTCCTCTTTAGCAGCTGGGGCAAAGTTTGGCCTGTGTGTGGCATCCACAGATCTCTTGTATGGGGAATCTAATAGTGCCTACCTCATTGTACTGTGAAGATGAAATGATTTACTCCACGTCTCTTACATTGTTCACATCAATAGTGCATGCTAAGGTCACACAGGTGACCAGTGAGAACCAATGCTTAAACCCAGGCTTTCAGGCCCCCAAATCCCTGCTCTCAGTCACAGGGCAGGTAGACATGGTCTATGTGGGGATCTTACTCTAGGTCCAGAAGGGATTGAGCAGTGGCTAACTGGAGAAGAGAACAGACTCCTTTACTGAAGACACATGGCGATGGTATTGCTGACTGCAAATAGATACCAGATTCAAACCATTTTTAACATTAACAAGACACTAAATGGTAAAATAAGTATTGCAGGCCATTCTAGCATGAGTTAAAGAAAATATGGGTATCAATCCAACCTCCTGCAGCTCTGATTCACGAAGAATTCCTACTCCATGTTCACAGATCAGGGAATTGGCATGCGTGTGTGTGTGTGTGTGTGTGTGTGTGTGTGTGTGTTGGAGGGGGGGAGTGGTGAGAGAACATTGTGTGACCATGCTTATTAGATGTAAGATAAAGGCTTCCTTTGCCAACCAGCCAAACTTGGTGTCCTGTTAATACCTTGTTTGTCTACAGTTATGGTCCAAGAATGAAGAGTTGCTGAAGTTTATCTCAAAGAAATAAATCTCAGATTGTCCCAATAAAATGAACAGAAAATCTTACCCACAAATCCTCTAGTTAAGCCTAGATTCATAAAAGTCCATAGAAATAGGGAAAGAAGAAAAAGATAGGAAACACATCTCATCGAGATGAATTTGTTTTAATGTTAATGGAGGATTCCTCCGCACTTAGCTTCACTGGCCATCCGAAAGCTGTCATTCTAACTGAAGTCACTGAGTAATAAGTGGCCCATCTTGTCCAGTCTTTTTTAAGAAAGGCCTGAGTTAACATTTTTTTTATCCAGTGTGGGTAACATCTAAGAACAAAAATGGTCCTACAAATTTAAGAGACAGATTTTTATGTCCCCATAATATCAAGTAGCTGTCAGAACTGGTTCCAAGCCTAAGCAGTGGATTAATGACAACTCATTTCGGTGTAAGCTTGGCAAGCTAACCAATCCATGCCGACCTCTTGCTTCTAAAAGTCAGCCAACCAGTACCAGCTCCTCTGAGTGTCCAAGTCTCAACCAACTGACACTGATCCTACAAATGACGTGTGTCACTCATACCCCTGAAAGTCCACCAGTTCTTGAACTCCATGCTTCCCAACCAATAGTGTACTAAGGCTAGCCTCTGAGGATTAGCAAGAGCCAATTGTTAAATATTTAGGAGTTTCTTATTAAGTCATCAGTGGCTTGAAGTCAGACCATGGTGGGATTACTTACATCATGGATACTGGCAAGCGCCATAAATCAGTACTTTCTCTCCGCCACCCTGCAAAGAGCTGACTTACCAGCACACCACTGCCAAAAATTCTATATTAAGTCAGCATTCTACTCTGCTTAAAGAGACGAGCCTGGTCAGCATAGTTGTCTTTTACTATTGGAAGTAATGCGATCAGCTTTGTCTTAGACACATCCAGACATTAATACTTTCACATGGCCAATTTAAAAAGTTGGTTTGCTAGACTCCTGTAAGACCTTAAGGTTTTGGAACAAGAGGCAGGCAAGTTTAGAAGAGAAAAGAGTAGGAAAGGAAAAGCACTTGAATGAAGACATTGTGTGTTCTTGAGATCAAGCCTGCGTGGGTTCCTACTCGGGGGAAGTGAAGGTCAGCACAGGACACTGGGAGACCAAAAGAGATAAAGGGCCTCAGAAGACGAATCCTGCTGGCTGCACTCCATTGCTTTGGAGAGGAGGGTGAAAATACCTTTTTCTCTCCCCAGTCTAGGTTCATGGCTGAGGTCCCTATAACAAAAGACAGACTAACAGAAAACTGTACATGTTTATTCAGCATAAGTTTCATGTGACACAGAAGCCTTCATAGGGAAATGAAGACCCAAAGGAGCAGTTGAACCTGTGTGTATTCATGCTAGGTTTGGTGAAAAGTGAATAGTCTTGGAGACATACAAGAAGACAGAGCGGCTATAGTCTAATGTGATCTAATGGCAATAAACGGGGGAAACTTAGTGTATTAGTCTGTTTTCACACTGCTAATAAAGACATACCTGAGACTCGGTAATTTATAAAGAAAAAGAGGTT